CATATATACATACGCACACGCATATAGAGATGATTCTGCCTTTTATATGTATACATGTAAACACATAACCATCCATACAAAGTTTCTTATAAATGTAAATAACTGTATACATATATATTCGCTCCACTCACATACATCCGGGAACACACGCTAACACACAGACACATACAATCAATATATTATATATATATATATATATATATATATATATATATATGAGAACCATTTCTTTTTCCTTTGTTTTTGTTTTGTGGATTGTTGAATGTCTATTGTTGAATACCTACTGATAAAACCCGTCTTCTCGCCTTGCTGTTTATCTTGAATTGAGCTTTTTTTAAAATCCATTTGTAACTACTTACCAGGATAATTTATATATCATCAATTGCGATGTGATACGGCGATAGGTGTCATGGTCTTTATTAGCTCTTTATAAAGCAGGGTTCATTTTACTAGACATAAGTTTTGATTTATATTTCTTTTCATATTCTCTATGTAAATAATTGGCTTAATACTTCATGTAAGTCATCTACAACGTCTTTCAAACAGTCTTTAATATCCCATCTTCCTGCAATGATATCACGTGTGTACCTCCCTTAACCTCATGTATTTTTTTCCTGTCGTTATATCCCGTGTAGCGTTTGTATATAATGGAAAAAATGTTGTTAGTATTTTCCCTCTCGACATTTACAGCTTTATATAATAATCTCTATCTATCCTTAACGCATTTTCCTTTTTATTCGCTCAAGCTAGCTCGGACATTCATTAGTTTATCACTCCAACTCTCCCGCTCTTTCTTCAAGGCCGCCACTCAAAAAGATATGAAAATATACATAGCGAAAGCCTGTGCCGCCTTGAATGAAATGGATGTAATCTGGAAATCTTATCTACCAGACAATCTTAAACGGAGTTACTTTCGCGCCACTGTATTGTTCGTTTTAATGTTGGTTTGATTTGGTTTGTTTTACGTCATATCAACCCAATTTTCATAAATGCCCTTCAGGCCTCATTATTTCTCAACTTTTTATCTACCCTGATGAGTCTCTCAAGGTAACCGTCGGATGGTCATTAGGGTCGTATTCTATATGATAACATATTTATTCTATTTAGGTTGTTGCTGCTTGACCAAAACGTATCGCGCCATGGCTAGGTGCAAAAAAAAATGTAGATCATTCGGAAGTTCTTATTTTGCTCGCCAGCAGTTTCCCGCGAAGCAAATTCTTCCTTACGTAAATAGAAATATCAGTAATGGATCTATAGAGCTATGATTTAGTTGGATGTTGTCTCCAAGAGATATTATGTATAGCTCTCAGCATTCGAGTGTAGGTTCCATCAAGCTTAGACTTAATGGTTCTAGTTAATGTCCAAGGAGTGGGACCATACATTAAAACCGACCATACTGGGTATGACGAAAAACTACATCCAAGAGCAAAACATATGATCAGTTTATGAGGAGCGTGGAACCACCTCTTAACTGCCGGTGTAGTAGCCCCTGATAAGATCCCATTTATGGGCAAATAGTTAACCCCTAAACTGGAGTCAAAACACTATGAATGTGTAAAAATTGGTTTTAATACTAGAAATACTTTGTTAAAAATTATTACCAGCATTAAATGTTTAAAGAAAAAATATTCCCAGCAATACATTTTGGAAAAAAAATATTATCAGTAATAAAATTCTTGTCGGCATTAAATAAACCGTTGAGGTTGATATGCCGTAAAACAAATGAAACCAAACTATAGATTTTTGAAAAAAATATTGGCAGCTATACATTTAAGAAAGAAAAAAAAAACAAAAGTGAAATGACGCAAATATTGCACCTTATTGATGCAATATCCTGACATTAATTATATTTACTTTTTTTTTCTTTTAATTATTTTATTTATTGCAAGCTTAGACGTTTGACTTAATACGATATCAGTGTAGACGGGTCAGAATATAGCCAATTTCTCTGCCCTGCGCCGATAGCTTAGGGGTAGAATCTCCGACTGATCCCAAATCAACCGGGTCTCAAAACCAGCTTGAAGCAATTGGATGTCTAACCACACTGATGCTACAGCGAAATAGTCTGTCCGTGGATGACAATATATATATATATATATATATATATATATATATATATATATATATATATATATATATATATGGTGCATCAAAAGTACTTTTAAAAATATTGGGGCAGGGTTCCTCACACCCAAGCAAGGACACAAAAGCCATCTAATCAAATGTCTGCTTCGCTTTTGAAGTTTAAAGAAGTGTTGCCATATAGACACGGTCACATCTGTCATTCGTGTACATTTGTGGAAAGTCTGTCTTCAACGTCTAACGTTTGTAGTGGCGAGTTAGCTGAGATGTATTATGTTTAACAATAGCAAGCTATTCATATCTTGAGGAAGCAGATATTATTTTTACATACGGCCGCTCGAATGGTAATGGATGCACGGCTGCTTCCTGGCTGTACCAAATTACATTAGCAGGCCAAAGGCTGCCGAGTCATCCAAAAGGATCCGTGCCGCCACAATCTATGGATCTTGGTCGTTCGGCTCACCACGGAAACCTATTTTACAGCGTGTCGGAAACGAAACTGTTATTAGCACAACGTAAAGAAGACCTAGCATGTCGTACGTCTCATAGTACCACATGGTGGATGCTTCAAGAGCAGCTCCTGTATCCGTATCATTTGCATAGTGTACAGCGTCTGAACACTTTTACCGATAAATTATTGCACAAACTGCCGATCTGTTGTTTGTCTCTTCAGGCTTGTTTACGGAGGCAAATTTTGGAAGAGATCAAATAACAAATTTACACAACGATTCGGAATACCCATGGTTAAATACAAGTTAGACACAAGCATCAGTTTACGATTAAAATGTCGGCTGGAATTGCATGTGACTGTCTGGTACGTCTATATTTTCTCCCAGTACGTCATACAGCAGCTGTCGAGAGAGACTTTATTTCGACCTCACTTCCAGACTTTCTAGAGAAGGTACCCTTGCTAATACGAAGACGCGTGTGGGACCTAGTACGTTTTAGTCACATGGTTCTAGATGCACTGGTTGACATCTACCATGAAATATGAATAGAGAGGAGCAAACTTTTAAGCAACAAATTTCGCATGTTTTTTCTCGAACGCTTATATCTGCTCGAAGGGTATATTAACGTCAACATGTTTTATCTGCTTCGATCAGATATGAGCGTTCGAGAGAAATCATGGGAAATTTGTTGTTTAAAAACAGTATTTTGAATTTGCGAACTAGACGCTGCCTCTGTAGCACGCCAGGCTATACGATGGCTCCCTGTAGGATACGGGTTCGATTCCTTCCGGAGGACACTTATTTCACATATAATTTCTCGGATATTCATGCCGTTAAATGTAGATAATACTGTTTATTATAAACAGAACATTTATTTAAATATGTGTATCTATAAAATAACGTATAAACAGAAAATATATTAATAATAATTGTCGGACATAGTCCATTTCATTATATATATATATATATATATATATATATATATATATATATATATATATATATATATATATATATATAACAGCCTGGCCGTGTACACAATTCCGAAAAATCCTTAGAAAAAACGCAACTATACTTAAGCATGAAAAAAAATCCTTGTTGAAAACGCAACTATACTTAAGCATGAAAACAATTTTTTGTTGAAAACGCAACTATACTTAAACATGAAAAAACTAAAAAACTTAAGCTATATACATAAAACAGGTGAAACCTAACCTGAACAAAATAAACTATGAAATCTCCACAAATATTCTTAAATACCTATAATCGATAACAGAAGTCATCGGTTTATACCAACGGCTTCCCATCCTTACTACTTCTCGTTTTCACTCTCCCGTGGCCCTGTGTGACATCACGAGCTGCGATGCGATTTTCGCTTCCGCGTCTCGTATACACGAGTTTGTCGTTGCTTTGAAATTGTTCATGCAACGAAAACAGACTATCATTATTGTTTCGTCCTTGTGTTGTTTGATATATTGAAATGTAATTGTGATCTTTGATCATGGCTTATGTAAGCCGAAAGCTTAGATTGGATTTAAACATGTATCAATATGGTGATTTCCTTTCGTCTTTCAATGATAATGTTATTAAGCTTGTGAGACAATATGAAAGGAAAAAATAAATAGACAAAACTTATCGATATTATTTAATGAAACATGCATTAATATATATATATATATATATATATATATATATATATATATATATATATATAATTTTGTCGAATATAGAGTATAGTCGTATCATTTCGACATTGTGAGAAAAAGACAGGGTTCTTTTCGACAGAAATTTGGAAACGGTATGTTGTAATGCTTGGCATTCGGGCCGATACCTACAATACCAACATTTCAATGTGTTTAGGTCTTAATCTGAGGGCATTACTGGAGATTGGCAAAGAGTTAGATGAGTCTAAGGGTGATTACGTAAGTGTTTGGAGTAGCTATGGCGACGTTATGCCTCCATTCCTCCTCACACAGAGTCTCAGACTCAACACGTTGACGTACATTAAATAGCTTGAGGATTTAGTGCTGCCCTGCGTCATGAGGTTAGCTGTTGGAAAACACTGTTTCTGCCAACAGGACTCTGCTTCATACCGTATAAGTAAGAGAACCCAATCATGGCTGTCAAACAATTTCTGCGACCAGATCAACCCTTAAATCTGGCCAACAAAATCCCCAGACATCAACACCCTTGATTATTATGTGTAGGGCGCAGTTGAGCGAGGTACCAACAAAAAGTCCATGTAACACCAAAGATGAACTGAAGGCAAGGTTTATGGCAGCGTTTGCCAATTTAGCCTGGGAGACTACCCAGAAGAGTTCTAGAAGATTCCGAAGTTGTCTAGAGGTCGTGATTGGAGTCAATAGCGATTTTATTGAATAAATTTACCCTTTACTACTTGATGATATCGTTGTGTAATTTTAGCAAATATACCTGTTAAAATGAGATGTTAATATTATTTTAATTTCT